CACCCAAAACGTCAGCTTTCCTGCTCCTCTGATGCTGCTTGGCCTGCTGTGTTCATCCAGCTCTACACCTTGTTATCTCAGATTCTCCAGCATTGGCAGTTCCCATCATCCTTGGTATTATAGGCTGGTTTCAGTTTCCTGCAATTGAATTGTAACCAGTTGCCTTATGAGTTGTCCCCAGCTGATCATTGCCGATCAGACCGAGAGGATGGTTACATGCATGCATTTGAATCCAAACTTGTAGAGTTCTGGTAACAATACGAATGGTTGGGAGAGAGTAATGACAATAATAGTTTTGCAGATCTTAATCCACAATATGGAGGTTACTTGAGGTGAGTACTATCTGTTACAGTAATGTTCCATGTAGTGCTATGTTGAACATCTAGTTTACTTAAGTAAATTTTTTTTTTTTACTAATTGTGCCATCTTTTCTCCTCAAAAAAAGTATTACAATGGTGCTGATGTGGGCGAGTGGTGACACTTTCAAGACCGCTTACTTCATCCTGAACCAGGCTCCTTTCCAGTTTTGGATATGTGGATTGCTGCAAGTGTGTGTTGATATCACAATTCTCTTTCAAGCTTACTACTATGATCGTTACCCTCAAAAACCGTCTTCCCACACTGTTCCTTCCACAAGCACCAAGGCACTTTAACTATGGCTCTATTCAACAAGTGCACCAAATGACCAATTCCTGGAAAGAACATGAAGCCATGTTGTTGAACCATAGCCAATAACTTTTATCTTGGTTTACCACATGTTGGAAGGATTTCAAAGTCACTTTCTGGTAAAGCGGTTTAAAGCATTTGAACTTTTGCTGAAATGTTTATGGTAATTTATATATTTTTCTATTTGCATAACTCAGACCAATGTTTTTGGACACGTTTACATAAATGCCTTACATGTTACTGTTCCTACAACTTTGTTTTTCTTCCTGATGTTTATTCTTTCTTTGTCACCTGCTATATCACTCTAATGTAACTTTGTTTCATGGCAGTATTAAGAGTTTGAAGTGTAATTTGGTGCACTATATCCAAGGAGAATATTGTGTTCAAAAACCATTTTAAAAATTAGCAATATTTCAGATGGGATTTACTGAACTTTGAAAAAGCTGTATTCCACACAAGGAAGGAGATGATGTAACGTTCAGACTTGAGTCTTCAGACTTCAGACAGCAACTGAGTGGGGAAGGATTAGGAAGCAAGGAATGTCTGTTTAATTTGATTTATGGTTGCTCTGTAATGAAGACACACACTGGGGCTCAGTCTAGTATTCATTATTGTATTAAGATGGAGTAGAGTCGTGAGATCTAAACTTGTGATGCTCCTATTAACAACTGTGCTGAAATCAGATGCTTCTCCACAAGGAGAAAGAATCAGAAGCAGGAAAAACTGCCCTTCAGAACAAGCTGCTTCAGAGTAATATCGGTAGGAATTTCAGGACAGTTTTGAATGGCATGAAGAGAAGAGCAGTTTTTTTTTATAAAAACAAAGTACAGATTATTCTTAGCAAGGTAAGAAGTTAAATTGTGGTCCATTGCAAAGTAAAGTGAGATCTGGCTTTTAGTGCAAAAGTGCATACTGATAATACGCAATGATGCTGACACTTTTACTTGTTCCTTCATGGTATTTATTTTATTACTCAGTAATTTAGATCACAGGTAACAGAGTTCATGTTTTACTTGCACAACATTTCTCCTCCCCACCTCCCCCCCCGCCCCAACCATTTAAATCAGTCTGATTGAAATTGCCTACATTTAATATACAGTTATCATGCTTATATAAACAGCATTGTTTCAAGAAAGCATTTATACATCAAGTAACAAATTAAAAGGCACAAATCTGATTTAATACTTGCTGTTCTGTGGATTACCCTATGGGTGATGAGCTCCTGCCTCCAAGTCAGTTGAGTTCATAATAAAATCAGCATGCATTTAAAATAAATGCACAAAAATTACTTTGGTACCCACAGCATTTGTGCAGAGAAGGCCTGGGAGGCAGGGAAAGTCTATTTAATTTGATTATGGTTGGTCTGTATGGATGATACACATTGGAACTGGGTGTAGTAAATTAAGATGGAGTAGAAAGGTTTCTACCAACCTGAATTTATTTTAATAATCTACCTACTACTAGCATAAAATTCAGTGCAGTTAATCCAGATCATTGAATTCAATTGCTATCCTTTCCTGTTGCCTTTTAAAAGCAGTGCTTTCTATCTATGTATGGTGAATCCATCCCTAAACGTGCTTACATTGTTAAACCCAAGTACGTGATCAGTCATTGCCCTGTGTTTTTGACTATAACCAAGCTCCTTTAATTTACTGGATTTACATAGAAATTGTTGATGTGATGTAACTTCTGATCATTGTACAATTGTATTTATCTGAAACTTTTTGTTGACATATGTATTTGTTAAATTTTCTGTTTATTTTGCATTTGTAGGCAGCCAGCAATCTGAAATTATCCTTATGACACTGAAGTTAATGGGGCATCATTCTAACTAACATACAGTGGCTGGGAGGAAATTGACTGAAACCTATAAATAATAATTTTAGCTGAAATGGAATATTAAGCCAACCATTAGGTTAGATGATGACACTTTGGCTCCAAAGAAGTATTAAATAAGAAGTATACCCAGTAAGGTAAATAGATCTATCTAGTTTATAACTATAATTCTCCCTATTTGCTCAGGAGGTTTTCAGTTGATTGCTATGAAGTATTTTGTCATTGAATGACAACTGTTTTGGTCTTTCTGATCCACAGCTGATTGCCATATTTTGCTTTGGGCTGAAGTGACCTTACAATTAAGTCTATGGTGTTTGTCTGATAAGCTGTTGTCTGATATGTTTTTATGTTCAGCAAAATATATGTATATATTCAAAACTGGGGGATTGCTGTATGCTGATCTTTCTACTTTGATTATCAAACAAGCTCAATTTTCTTAAATAGTTTCTAAGAATATACTTTTTGAAAGTCAAGAACTATGAATTAGTACACTAATTCATTTGACTGAAGTATGAAGCCCCAGGAATAAACTAACTATCACTTCCACTCTGGTGAGCAAGTCTGTCACTTTTGTGATTTTGGTCAAACCTTATGTATCTTGCTGGTCCAAACCCTGCTACACATCACCATTTTAAAACTGAAATGAGCCTATTCAGGTATTTTTTGCACAGGCTGTGGGCCATGGGGGCGGCACGGTGGCACAGTGGTTAGCACTGCTGCCTTACAGCACCAGGGACCCAGGTTCAATTCCAGCCTCGGGTGACTGTCTGTGTGGAGTTTGCACAGTCTCCCTGTGTCTGCGTGGGTTTCCTCCGGGTGCTCCGGTTTCCTCCCACAGTCCAAAGATGTGCAGGTTAGGTGGATTGGCCATGCTAAATTGCCCGTAGTGTTCAGGGAGGTGTAGATTAGGGGGGTGGGTCTGGCTGGGATGCTCCAAGGTTCAGTGTGGACTTGTTGGGCCAAAGGTTCTGTTTCCACACTGTAGGGATTCTGTGTGCACTGTGGCATTAACGGGCAGCGATAAGTTTTATGTTACTTACTGTTTTCAATTAGCAAGCAAAAATTACAGAATCCCTTTGTGTCGGCTTATCAATCCATGGGTGTGATAATGTTTGATTCCATAATGTTTGTACAATTTTGTTTTGCCCATTTGATGTTCAGTTAATTGGCTTCTGAAGCATATGCTGGGGGAATATAGTAAAAAGGTCATATACTTCACAGCTTGTATTGGAACTGTTGAAGGGTTTTATTTCCAGGATTACTTGGGTTATCTAGGAAATGTTTCTTTACACTTTTTAAATTCAGATTTACATTTGTGAATATTTATTTAAAAATATTGAAGATTACTGTTATTTTGTATTCTTCTGTCAACTCCACCAAACAAGTAAAAAGACTCTTAATTGCCAAATGAAGGCAGGTGAATGCACTTAACCAGCAAAAGGAATGTTCTTCAATACTATAACCAGCCTTCCCTAAAACTTTTTGTTATGGACTGCCATTCAACATCATGGTTGGAGGCAAAGTAAGAGAATCAAAAGAAGTCTGCACAAGAGTACGTGTTAAAAATGTAAATACATACACTGGTCTATCATGTGCATCTGTATGTTAAACTAAAACCTAAAGAAGAATAAACATTTGGAACTGTCCAAGTTAGACTGTTGTAATTTTTAAAAAAGAAAATTTGTCTTCACCTTTTAAATTGTGGACTCGAATAACAACTTCCTTTATGTTCAAATTAAGTACAAGTAGTTCTGCTATAACGCGTGTTTTGTTAACACAAATTGGCTATAACACGATTGATGAATAGTGGATGCTGTTTGGATAACGCAAACTTTCTGCTGTACAGGTATAGTGATTTTCTATAGCACGAGGTCACACAAGGACACAACTATCATGTTGTAGGAGAGCTGCCTGTATGTAAAGAAGTACAGCTGTAATTAAAGTTGACTTGAATCTACATTGTGCAAATCAAATCAATAAACAGTGTGTTACAGGAGAAATTCCTGGAGTTTGTGCAAGATCATTTTTGGATCAATATGTTGAAGAACCAACTAGAGAACAGGCCATCCAAGACTGGGTATTGTGTAATGTGAAAGAAATAATTGGCAGTCTGGCTGTATGAGGCAACTTGGAGAAGGGTAACCTTCTTCATTAAAATAGTGGTTGACATTGTTGATTTGGAGTCTAGGGTCCTGAATCTATACAAATTTCAATAGTATGAGGCGTGAGCTGGCTATGATAAATTGGGAGGCGTTACTTGGAGAAAATGGAGGATAAGCAATGGCACAGAGTCCATGAAGGAACTGCAACAGTTATTCAGTCTTGTATGTCACACAATGAGAGAGGTGGCCCAACCATGGCTGACTAGGGATATTCGGGGATAGTATTGGTTTCAAAGAAGGGGCAAACAAGTTGAAAATAAAAGCATCTAACCAAAGGATTGGCAACAATTTTGATTTCAGCAAAGGAGGACAAAGGAATTTATTATGAAGGGGAAAGGTGGGTTTTTGGGGAATATGCAAGTTGATTATAGAAGCTTATAGCAGTATATGAAGAGATAAAGAATAGTGAAGACAAATCTACATCAGAAATGGAAAAAATTACAGTAGGAAACAGGTGGCAGAATAATTATTTTCATATTTTGATTCTGCCTTCATAAAGGAGGTTGCCCAACATTTTTGAAATGTTTTGTCATGGTTTAATGAGAGCGAGAAACTAAAGGACACCAGTATGAGTACGGAAATGGTGTTGGGAAAATTGGGTTTAAAGGCAACTGATATTCTACATCCCAGAGTACTTAAGGAAGTGACCCCAGAAATGGATGCTTTGATGCTCATCTTTTGAGATTCCAGACTATGGAATAGTTCTTTGTATTGAAGGGTAGATAATGAAATCCCACCATTTAAAAAAGGAGTTAGAGAGAAAATTCATAGAATCCCTACAGCATGGGAGCAGGCCATTCAGCCCATCAAGTCCACACCGCCCCTCCGAAGAGCATCCCACTCTATCCCCTATAATCCTGCATTTCCAATGGACACTGGGCAATTTAGTATGGCCAATCCACCTAACTTGCACATCTTTGGACTGTGGGGGGGGGATGGTGGGGAAGGAAACCAGAGCACCTGGCGGAAGCCCGCACAGACAAGGGGAGAATGCGCAAACTCAGCGGCACAGTTAGCACTGCTGCCTCACAGCGCCAGGGACATGAGTTGGATTCCAGCCTCGGGTGACTGTCTATGTGTAGTTTGCACATTCTCCCCGTGTCTGCGTGGGTTTCCTCCGGGTGCTCTGGTTTCCTCCCACAGTCCAAAGATGTGCAGGCTAGGTGGATTGGCCATGCTAAATTGTCTGCAGTGTTCAGGGATGTGTAGGTGGGTTTTAGGGGAACTGGTCTGGATGGGTTGCTCTGAGGTTTGGTGTGGACTTGTTGGGTTGAAGGGCCTGTTTCCACACTGTAGGGATTCTGTGATTCAACACACAGTTGTCTGAAGGTGGAATTGAACCTAGGTCCCTGGCACTGGGAGGCAGCAGTGTTAACCACTGAGCTACCATGCTGCCATAAATGGGATTATAAACCAGTTAACCTGACCTCGGTTGTAGGAAAAATGCTGGAGCCCATTATAAAAGAACTAAAGCAGAGCACTTGGAAAATAATGACCGAGTTGGACAGAGTCATCATGGATTTACTGGTTGGAAATCATGCATAAATCCACTGGGCTTTTGATGATGCAACTAGTAGAGTTGCTAAGGGGGAATCAGTGAATGTGGTTTAATGGACTTTCAAAAGGCTTTCAGCAAGTTCCTATAGAAGAGATTAGCATCTAAAATTAAAATGCACAGGATTGGGAGTAGTGTACTGACATGAATAGAAAACTCTTTTGGCAAGCCAAAAACAAAAGAGTAGTAATTAAATGGGTCTTTTTCCAAGTGGCAGCCAGTCTCTAGTGTGGTATCACAGGGTTGATTGCTTGGACCCCCAATGAGGGAACTAAATGTAAAATCTCCAAGTTTGCAGATGATGCAACTTGGTGTGAGGGTGAACTGTAAGGAAGATTCGGAGATGCTTCAGTATAATTTGACGAGTGAGTGGGCAAATGCATGGTAGATGAAATATAATATGGACAAATGTCAAGTTATCCACTTTGGTAGCAAAAACAGGAAGGAAATTATGATCTAAATAGTGATAGATGAGGGAAGTGAGACCTAGATGTCATTGTACATCAGTCATCGAAAGTAAACATTCAGGTGCACCAGTTCGAGAAGAGGGCAAATAGTAAGTTTGCCTTCATAGTGATAAAATTCAAGTACAGGAGCTTGGTAATTATATAGAGCCTTGGTGAGACGACACGTGGAATACTGTGTAGTTTTGGTTTCCTTATCTGAGGAAGGATGTCCTGGCCATTGAAGGAATGCAACACAGGTTTACCACACTGGTTCCTGGGATGGCAGGACTGAGGTGGATTTTGTGGTCTGTGGTGAGAATTGCCACAAGCTCTCATGATCTTGGGTGTGGATTTTCTTATTTCTAATGGCACTTTAAATCTGGCGCTAAGCCAAGGAAATGTCTTGCTATGGGACAGCAGTGACATCAGCAAGCAGGTAAACAGCCAATGACACACCCATACTAACCCACAGCAATTAGCATCCTTCACTTTACAATGAAATTTTCAGATGGCAGTATTAATGATGGTGATTATATTAAGATGGAAGCTAAAATAGGACCTTTACATATGGATGTTTTTAAACTCAATGTGGAGTAAAACAACTCCACATTATAAAATTAGTCTAGGTCTAATGAGATTATTTAACAGTAATAATGAGTTAGTGCATGATTTAAAAATCCAGTTAATCACTTTGTGGTGCAAATTTTCTAGTTTGTTACATTGAGTCTAAGCGTATGAAAGTTGTGTGTATGAATTTACTTGATTTCCATTGATTGCAGTGTGAGGGTCCTCCAAAGCATAGAATTGCTGACAATAACTTTGGGATTAGTATGTTGTTTTGCATGTGAAACTCCAGAAGTTGCCATCAGTTCAGTAAAGTGATGACAGAGAACACTGTTTGCTGTCGTCATCACAAAATCATGGTATTTGACCACGTTGGGAAAAATGTTGCTAAGTATTGGATATAATGAAGCTATGGATCTGTTCTTTGATTGTTCTTGCAAAGGGCCAACCATATTTACATTTGGCAATAACTTGTATTTATATAGCACCTTCAACAGAGCAGCATTCCAAGGCAATTCCCCGCATTATCAGAAATGTTGAACTGAGGCACGTATAAAAACAGAACCCAAATCATTGGCACAGGTAGGATTTAAGAACAACTTTCAAGGAGAGTAGAGTGTGAGGGAAGGTTTAAGGAGGAAATGTTTTGGCTTACAGGGGTGACAATAATGAAGTGATTAAAATAGAGATGAGTAACAACCAAAACTGGAGAAAACAGTTCTCAGAGGGTTGTAAGGCTGGAGGAGATCATACAACAAGGGAGTGGCTAGGCCATGGAAGGGATTGAAAATAGCTTTTAATAAGTGGTCTTCCTGGACTTAGCCCATTTGTCTGTAAACACTGAGTGTGGACGGTTGAAATTTGGTGTGAGGTAGGATGTGAACAATCAGAACTTTAGTTGAGCATAAATTTATGGAATGTAGAAGATGGCAGGCCAGGCAGGACATCATTGGAATTGTCAGATCTGGAGGTAGTAAAGACTTGAATGAGGGTTTCAGCATCAAATGAACTGGAGCAGGAGATGGTACCCTTTTGAGAAAGCCTAAGTGCAGATTCCAAACTGAGACTGCAATATCTAATATTGACATTGGAAGGAAAAGGCTGGAAAGTGAATCACAACAGGAAATTTAAATAGACTTCATGCATCAGGGTGAAACACTTGGATCAAGTATTCAGTTTGGCTAGGATTCTTAAGGATGTTACTGGTCAAAGTTGTGATGAGCACAGATTTAACATGAAGGAATGGTTTGTAGTAGTAGGAAGATAATCTATTCTCTAGTAAATAAGGGGAGGCAATGGTCTAGTGGTATTATAGCTGGACTGTTAATCCAGAGACCCGGATAACATTCTGGGGAACCGGGTTCGATTCCCACCATGGCAGATGGTGGAATTTGAATTCAATAGAATACCTGGAATTAAGAATCTAATGATGACCATGAATCTATTGCCGATTACTGATTACCGATTGTCAATTGTCGGAAAAACCCACCTGGTTCACTAATGTCCTTTAGGGAAGGAAAATGCCATCCTTACCTGGTCTGGCTTACATGTGACTCCCGACCCACAGAAATGTGGTTGACTCTGAATTGCCCTCTGGGCAATTAGGGATGGCCAAGAAATGCTGCCTAGCTAACGACATCCTCATCTGTTAATGAATAAAAGGAAATGCCCCACATACAAAGTTTACTTCTTTGATAAATAATCATGGTCACGTTGCGACAAACCGTTATAAGGGCTGTATTATCAGTTATGCCTCCGGAGGCAATGGAAAGAGAGATTTTGGAGTTAAAATTATCTCACTTGCCTTTTGCAGACCCAATCATTTTGTAACCTTATTGCACCAAAGATTCTAGACACATTATTAAAGCTTGAAACTAGAATCATTTATTCAAACTGAAAGAAAATCTTCAAGTGCTCTG